AAGAGAAGAGAAGAGAAGAGAAGAGAAGAGAAGAGAAGAGAAGAGAACAGCAGCACAAGCTGAGAAGCTCACTATTGAGAAGGGAGAAAAACCAGTGGAAAAGAAGCAAGGCAAAATAACGAGCAGGGAGGCGAAGCTCGATACGAATCCAAGCACACAGCAGCAGCAGCAGCAGCAGCAGCCGTAGCCGTAGCCAAACGATGAGGGAGGAGAAGCTCGACGCGCAGCCAATCGCACGAAGCCACGGTGTAATTGAAGGAAAATTGACTTGTCCCAGGGGGATGTCGATCTGCGGGGCAGTGACACGAAGTGCAATTCAAGTGGGGTTCCCGTGGTAAGACACTGTCTCGAGAGCGGTCCACCGGACAAGTGCAAACGGAAGTTGTCAAGTGCTATGGCGCGCGCAAGCAAGCGCTTGCTTTACCAGGCTTGAGACAAATACGTCAGTCATGTGCACATAAGAGGTGAAACGCTTGAAGCACTTGCCGCATGAGTGCCTTTTGATAGGACCAAGAGATCATGATTGGCATCATCCTTTGCAGGTGACCGTCAACAGCATCCATTCGAATGCAGCTATGACCTTTTAAGCCTGATGCCTTTCGTCTTGAAAGAACGTGATTCTACTTCCGTCCAATGCAGTGCATGTGCACTTTTGTTCGTCTTCACGTAATATTCTTAGCCTGATTCTGTACAGCGGGCGATTGCAATTCAATACCTGCAGAGGAAAAGAGCTTTAAATATACATGTCCGACTTGAGTCATTTTAAGTATCGACCAGTGCATTTTCATACACAGGGGGTAGGAAAATTGTGTCTGTCTTGTGTTTGCTTTTGCTTCCTATCTAGCCCCTGTCTTTTCTCACCTCTTGTATGTACATGACTGACGTCTCAAACCTGGTAAAACAACCGCTTGCTTGCGCGCGCCATAGCACTTGCCACTTTCGTTCATGCACGTCCTGTGCTCTGGAGATAGTGTCTTTCCAAGGGAATCCCACTCCACTGCAGTTGCACTTCGTGTCACACCCCTGTGATGAAGAATCGCCTTTCGCGACCCCAAGGTCTAGGCGTGTGGTGTGGGCGGAATCTGCCCCGAAGCTAAAGCTAATTGAACTCAGGTGGCTTAAGCTACCTTTCGTGACATTTTTTGTCAGTTTTCGCTCCTTAAAAACAGTAAAAGTGAAAACAAACATGCTAGCAAATGCTGGGTTGTGCGCGTGGCTGGAACATCGAACCGTATATATCATATCATAAAGACGATGCTTTGTTGCTTTGAGCCCCAAATCCTCCAGAAGCTTCTGGCCGAGCTCTGCGGTAGAACATTTTTCCCAACCTCAGTGCTGTTTCAAATCGTTCAGTTCTGCAAGCAATGTAAGTTGAACTGAAAAAATCAAAGTAGGCGCATATATCCAAACATCAACAGGAATTAACCAAATCAACCCACTCCACTGGCCTCCCGCTCTCGCTGCCACCAGTGCTTCCTTGAAATCTGCCACCCTGGCCAAACAAAAAGCGGTCTGTTGCAAGTACAGTAAGCAGTTGGTAGTCGGTGCACACCCTGCTGGTCCAGCCTGGTAGCTCGATGTTCCGTAGGAGACTCCAGTTCCAGCATCGGGAAGCTCCGGAGTACGCTTGAAGTACTTCAGCAACAAACGGCGCAACCTCCTCCACAAAGATCCACCAGTAGCAAGTGCAACACTTGACATAAGGCCTGAGTCACCTTGGCCACCGGTGTCACCCATTGGGCCCTCTGGAGTGAGGCGGAGGATGTCGGTTTGAGATGCATCAGGAATCATTCGAGGCAGTAGAACGAGAGTGAAAAAGGGTGCTAGCGACTGAAGCACTGCTGCAACCCAAAGGCGATCAAAGCAATGGCTGTCATGTGCTGTGCCATCTGGCTCAACCCCAAGATAGGCAAGCAAATATGTGCCAAAGATTGAGGCAACTGCGCGGCCCAAATTCTGGCAGCCTGCAAGCAATGCAAACATAGTCGCTTCCAATCCCTCCGGACAGACCTGACACAGTAGCAAGCCTCCGGGAACATAGGCCCATCTAGCGAAAACATTCTGCAAGACTGTGCCACTGAGGACAAACAAATCATCCGGAATGCCCCATTCCACATTCCTTCGAGTAAAAACAAGAACACTGCCAGCCGATACCAAGGACCAAAGAAGGTTGGAGGTGAGCAGGAGATTTCTATACCTCCAATTGGTCATGAAGTGATTGTAGATCCACAAGCCCATGATTCCAAAGCAGCTGGCAGCAAGGCCAAGCCCTGTTGTGTAGAACCACACGGAAAAGTGAGGTCCCATGGGATACGAACTAGCATCATCAGTGAAGAAGTAGAATGCACCTCCTTCGACTGATATGGTAGAAGTGCTTTGGAGGAAGAAAAACGCATTCATGAGGCCAATCGTCGGGTTCAACAGGCAGCCAAATGCAAGGATGATGGCAAGTGCCACAAATGCAATCAGCTTTAGTTGAAACGAAGCTGCTGACAATGGATCCAAAGGACTTGGCTCAGTGACATCAGTGTTGGTGGCAACATGGAGAATTACCAAAGATCCAACACCCATCGCTGCCACCAAGAATGGAATCTCTCCTCCTCCATGTTTGGCTTTGAAGAAGGCTTTCCGACGTAGCGCCGCTTCATCCTGTGGACACAACGGCTCACCCAGCCAGTTCCCAAATGCAGGAAGGAATGCAAAGAGCGTGAAGGGCACAGCCAACAAACATGGCCCATGAGGACCCAGGTGCTCCAAGACTGAACCCACTGTGCCAATGGCAAAGGCTTCTCCAATTGTTTGCCCACCGGTCACAAATGCCATCAAGCTGGGGCCTTTTGTCGGAGATTTCCTGATGCGTTCTGCAACAGCAGCCTCTAAGAGAAGATTGCAAATGCAGATCTGGAGGCCGATGCAGAAGAAGGCAACAACAATAGCCGTCTCAAAGTGGATCCCCAAGCGGGTCAAATCAAAATGATGATACAGACCAACGAAAGCACAAGCTGGACAACCCACAAGCGTGCCCAGGACGAAGTATGGAGCTTTGCTCCGACCAAAGACCGGAAACATGTCGCTGGTGATTCCAAGCATAGGCTTCAGAACCCAAGGCAAGAGAGCAACTGTCTTTAATGCTTGAAGACGCGGACCCCTCTCATGATGACTTGCCAAGACCCAGTCAAAGGATGTAAAGACGTACATCAAGACGAAGCCCTTCAAGAGATGATGGTAGTAGAACACGGTCATCAAGAACGGCCATCCAAAGACATTGGTCAGGTCTGCCAGCCAAGACCACATGCTGCTGGAATCTAGTCCTTAAATGCAGGGGCCAACAAAATTGCTTCCCTGTACAGCAAACTTGGCTTGACTAGCCCCCACGAGCGCTGTTTACAGGTTTGCCGTCTTCGATCTTGAGTCCTCTTGTCTGATCCTTTATCGAAACTTCTGAGTCAAGTGTCCTGGATGATCGAGCTGACGCACCAAAGCAACCAAGGGTTTGCGCACGAGTGGAACTTGATCCGAAGTGCTCTTTTGAGGCATTGTCCACCAACAGGGCATTGACTCAAGATGCTCAGATATGCTCAGATGCTAAATCTATCAAACTAAATCCACATCAGCTATGAATCATGACGCATTTGTCGTGATCATGAATCATGTGTCACATGCAAACTCAAGAACCAAATCCACATCAGGTACATCCAGCCTTCGAGAAAGAAAACCATTGACTCGGATCGTCTGCGCTCGGCGGGCCCAACTACTGACATCCGAGCAGGCTAACATTTTACTCGAGTGCTGGACAAGCGCGGCAGAGCAACAAAACATGGAGGACGGCAAGTGAGCGCACGTGGTCGCAGAGTCACACAGTTGTTCTTTGCAGAAACACCGAAACGATAACTTGAGCTGCTTCTGTCGGTCACACAGCTTGAAAGACTTGCTGTGAGTTTGACCGAGGTGAGCTCTGCAGTGGCCAGGAAAGGAAACTATAGACCGAAATGGCCACTATGACGAATTCTTGGAACGCGTGCCAAGAGGACTCGGTTGTCCAAGTCCTCTAGCTGCAATATGGCTGGGGGGGTCCTTCAGTCCTTAACTGCCTTAACTGTAAACTGGAGGAGACAGCAGTCGACCAGCAAGCTGAGACCTAAACTCTTCTTCTGCTGCAGGCTCACTTCAGAAAGCATCCTGTTCATCTGGCAAAAAAAGAAGCCATCCTGGAGCCCGTCTCTGTTTCACCAACAGCTGTGCTTTCCTCAGAGCCGTCTGAAGCTTCAGCCAGCATTTGCTGCACACGAAGCCAGCCAGCATGGTGGCCACCATGAAACCTGAGACCATCTTCCACGCAAATTCCACTTCTTTGGTAAAATCGCTTCCCAGCCAGGTGGCAAGCACTTCAAAAAGAATCTGTTCAGCAAAATGGAAATATTCAGCCTTGAGGCTGTAAGCAGCATAGCGGATACCAAGCTCTTGCAGCATTGGTGCCAACTTTTCTGCATCGTGAAACGCAGCAACAGCGCTTCCTACCACTGTTATGAACTTTGCAAATAGGTTTCGGAGGGCAGGAGAGTGTGTAGGGTCTTCAGTTGCAAGCAGAGCTTCGACAGCGCTAGTCCAGCTGGACTGGTGGATACATCAGCTATCAATATCCATTTTGCCAGTGGTCGTCATACATGCATGTGGAACAGACAAGGATGGGTCTGTGCATTATAGGACTTGCACGTTCCGTTCATTTGATATTGGCCACTTCTCACAGTGGCTGTTGACCTTACCCGAGTTCGCTGCTAGACTTTTTTTTGATCGAACCAATCTGCAGCACCTGCGGTTGTACGGGTGCGGGGATTGCACTTGTGCGCTTGCCGGACTTTGGATGCACCTTGATGGGGTTTGCTCCACGGCCCCAGAGTGGCTAGTGAGCTAAGTCACCTGCACTATTTCTCAATCATTGCCTGCAAGACAGTACAAGCATCCATTGCCCCAGCTTTAGCTTTTCCCTGTTGGGCGAGGCTTCAATCGAATCTAAGATCCTCACCGTCAAAGTGGATCGGCTGTTGAAAAAAGAAGGCCATTCTCTGCCAAAGAGCTTTCACAAAGCCACGTCAAATTGGACTCGTTCCAATCAACTTTTCCCAAGTGTTCGCAAGCCATTCAACTAAATGCTTTGTGCTCAATGCTCAGAAAGAATCTGTTACTTTTTCAGTCTGCGACGCCTTCGAAAAGGGATCCGGATTGAGAATCAAATTAAGATCATCCCGATTCCAGCCACATCTAGTGCCAGTTTTGGCACGGAGAAGTGACAATCCAATCTACACCTGAGATACACGCTGGCGCCACAGTGTTGAGTGCAGAGTGCATAAGGTAGATTATTTGCTTGGAAAGAAAGCTGTGGGGCACAGTGTGACCCAGGAAGTTCCTGTACAAGCATTTGGCAGAAAAAAAATTGGCCTGGAGGAGTATTCTACTACGCTGCTACGCATCCTAAATTGCTGTAAATTCACCTGTAAGCTGAGCATTCCTCAGCTAACTTGGAGCATCCTTTGGAGCATCACGTCGATGTCGAGCTTTTGCACGTGGCTTGCGGTATACTTTTCCTTGAGCAAACTCAACTCCGAAGAGCGTGTAAAAAAGCACTCTGTGGGACTCTTTCTCTGTGACACCATATCTAGTAGCAACGCAGCACACTGTCAGCGTTGCTGAAATGAAGCTCAGCCGCCAATGTTCTCTCTGCTTGCTGGAGTAATAACGACAGATGCTCTTGGGGTAGGCACCAAATCGGCTTCCACCTTGCAAGCAACTGGTGCATGGCAAAACGGGCATCACAAACCCACACGGCTCTTCCAGGCGCACGAAGATGAATGTTCGCTGCTTTGCCGCCAGCCCAAACAAATCCACCGACATTACCTGCATAAATAGCCCACCTTGCTTTCCAAGCCTTGCTCTCCATCAGCCTGCACAGGATTGCACGTTCAAAAAAAGAAACAGCAAACCTGCAAATATCCCGTCATCTTGGCAATCATCACCATGCAATACAAAAAGAGGGCAGGGAGACAGAAAATATGAGGACTGAGCGCAAGAGAGAGAGAGAGAGTGTGTGAGAGAGAGAAGGCAGGAGAGGAGAAAGGTGTTAAAACAACTTGTGCTGCGGCAAGCCTCGACTCTGCAGGCCCACCGATGGCTCGACTCAGGATCCAACAGCGAAATCCAGCCTGCAGCTTGCTGTTTTTTTCACATGTTGCGAAGTTTGCTGTCAGCTTCATCATCTTGTCATATCTTGTCACTGTCTCAGTCTAGTCTTAGTGTCCAATATGTTCATGCCCTGCATTGCCCTGCTACTATTTCGTGGTCTTCGTGGTCTCATGTTCGGTGGCCAAAAGATCTGCCTGGACCCCCCCGCCTGGTGGTGAAACCAGGCGACCTCGCACCTCGACATGCTGTCAATCTGTGTCTAATAGGACTGATATGGACTGATTAGTCAAGCTTTAGGAATGCTTGGTCGATAAAGTGCTATCAGATCCAATATGATCCGATATGTTTCTCCTACTGCGCACGATTCACAGTCTTTGTCCCATGTGGGCCATGACTCTTGTGGTGATGCGTTGGAATTGATTTCGAAGCGCTTGGGTTCTCACGGGATTTTGGCCACTCACCTCGACGACTTCGACCTTATTGTAAGGGAACTAAATGGAGCCCGTTACAAAACCCCTTGGAATGATCATTTACATGTTCATCTTGGAAAGATGTCTAGGTGTGCCGTTGCTGAAAAAAGAGATTGTGGGCCGCTGGCAATTGTGCCTGCGCGGATGTAAGAGATACCATCCTCCACACGAAATCCGTCTTTTCGACTCATCCATTGCAAAAGGTCATACAATGTATGGTAGAATATCCAGAGAATATTCGGTAGATAAACAAGCTGCTGGCAATAATCGACCGCAACATCAACTCAATTCAAGCTACGTTTGCAAAGCAGTCCTGACCAGCTTGGATATGTGCAGTCTCGGACCAGAAAGTGCTGTCACGAATCACCACATACCTGAGCGGTCAATGCTCGCAGATTGAGACTGAATGATGTATCTGCATGATAATTCTGGAGCTAGGTCGCTGACTTACCCGGCCTATCACTGCTGGAGTCCTTGCGGAGTCTAACAAGCTTCTTGCGAAGAGTTGGTGTTGTCACCGACTTGCGATGGAAGGCGACCTAAACTAAAACTGAACCACTGCTTAGATGCTGCTCATATCTGCTCGTGCATCACCGACTATATCTAAATCAAGAAGAAGGAAAGGCCTCGCACATGCTGCTCTGGTGCCTGCGCAGCATACACGGAGAGGGGGGGGTCTGTGGGATTCAGCAAACTACCTCAATCCCTGCAAAGGCTTCGCAAAAGTCACAGACATCAGCTCCTCGGCGTCCTGCTAAGCTGCCCATAGTGAACTGTTGAAATACCAACGCGAAATTAAATGAGGTTACATATGCAGTCCACAATCCCAAAGTGCTCCGCTATGCTCCGCTCCTCGAAGTCTTTCACTTCGAGATCTGTCGAGCGAGATGCATAGGATCCGCCGCCATGGCCTTCGTCCTTTCCCTTCGAGTTGGTCGAAGTGACATCGACCAACTCGTCTACATCTCGCATATCTCGCTCCGTCCAGTGAGAGGACGATTTCGATTTCCAGGAGCGCACTTCCTGAGGATCCTCGGGTGAAGATCGATTTGAAGCTCCCTTGGAGCTCTCTGATTGCCAAGAAGGCATGCCATCAGCAACTTCATCGGCAATGTCTGGCTCGATGGAAAAGCCACGAGTAGGCTCCTTGTGGGCAACATCACTTGAATCAAAGCTATATTCTTTGCCGATGAACAGTGTAACAGGGAGTAAACTGAGAGTGCAATTCTCTAAGCCCAAGACGTTGTTTTCTGCCACCTCAATCTCGGGCCTCAAAAAACCACTGCACTGCGCATTAAAGACCATAGAAAACTCACGCACTGCTAGAATTAGAATGTTGCACACATTGCCCACTCAGCTATGAAGTGCCCAGCCTTCCACTGCTTTGGTATCTGGCCTGTCGAAGAAGAAATCGCGCATTTGTGTAATTTATTCATTGCAATCGAGCAGAGGATGGCGTCAGCAGAAAATGCATGGCCTGCAGCAATGAAAGTGTTTTATTTGTACCTGGGTGTTCCACGAGTGTGCAAAGCTGTTGGTTGATGGCTACACACGGAGCAGTCGGTTTATTTTGTTTATCAAGACATATCAAGACTTCATCCGGCAGGCTGAGCCATCAACGACTGAGCGTGTCTTCCATCAATTTGCTGGTTGACTTGCGTGGATCGAAACTGTAGCAAAGCATGTCTCCTCCCAGGTTCCAAGGTTTGCTTCGGATTGACGAAAGTGCGGTACACTATGCGAGCATGCTTTGCCTCCTAGTGTAAACAACCCTGCCTCCTTTAGAAACAACTCGCAACCCTGAAGATGTGCTACATCGTCCACTACCTTCGTTTCCTACCCAAAAATCGGACGTACACAAGAGCCTTCTTTGGCAAGATCTTCTTTCGGGCAGCTCATCAGTCCCATAGAGTGTTTCACCTCACATGATGTACTAACGCAATGGATGTCATAATGCACTTGACAGGCCTCTGCGCGAGCCCGTGGATAGTGATCTCCGCAACATCACAGTATATTCATGTTCGGCAGTTCTTCCTTCGATACATTCAATCAAAAAGACAGCGTTCCGCGTTCTTTGCTTTGCTGATCGGTAATTGGGTCAACCTTGTCGCTGAGTCTGTCTGAGATGTTGTTGTACCTGTATGGCTTCTGTCAGTATTTCTTGTTGAGCTAATTTGGGCAAACGCGCCAAGTCTTTGATGGGCCATGGCCAGTCAAGACTCCTGTGATGAATTTGAAGCTAGCTGTCATTGAATCCAATATCAAGCATGTCCCGCTCTTTCATCAGCACTCAGTCATGGGCACTGGCATCTTTTTGGAGCACACGTCCCGAGAATTGCTTTGTGTATATAAGCTAGACTATATCCCACTCTCTAGTTTTAGAGGTGGTGCACCAAGTTGTCCACGATTGTTGCGGACCAGAAAATGCATCGAAGTTCAGAGGCTTCAAAACTGTGTCTGAAAAAAACAAAAAACAGAACTCGGCTTTGAAGAAAAAGAGTGGAATGTAGCCTCTTGGGGTGGGACAGGTGCGATGAAGCGAGGTTGAGGGCCTTATGGTAATGTCCAGAAAGTGGTGGTCTGCGCTGTTTCTTCTTTTCCTTATTCGATTCAACCAAATGAACCCTCAGATCAAGAGGATGCACCATCCAGGTTCGGGCCTCACATGCTCCGGTGCAACTGCCTAATTTATGACCTTCAACCTGCTGACACTCACTATATAGTACTTACTCAACCAACTTCAGATTGGAGGTAAAGAGAGATGCTGATTCATGTAATTTCTAACAAACCAACACAGACCCACAAACCACAGCACTGTCCAACTCGAGAACTAAGGGATCAGCTTTGGCTCGTCTCACTGGGACTTGGCGGGCTTGCAGGACTCGTTGCATTCGCTCCATTTACGCCTCGGAGTCGCAGCTAGCTAGTATTTTCTTGCTAGAGCAAAATTCACTGGAAAAGACTCCGCAGCACTTTGTCGGCATCTAGAGAATTGTCTGAAAGGGAGTCTCAAATTGGAAAAACTAAAGAACTTTAGGCTTTGGAAACTTAGGCGTTGGTTTCCCCGCAGTCCTCTGCTGAATCAGCAGCCCCTACCCACACACAATGATCTTGGAAGGCTAAGCGCTTTCACGCTGCCATTCTAAGCCTCGTACTTATTGATGCATTTTGAGGATTCTTGGTCCTCAATGGCAACCTGCCACATTATCCAAAAACATTGATCTGAATTTACTCAGAGAATCACCACTGGGAGGTGCATTGATGAACTTTTGGAGAGAAAGAACTTTTTTATCTTGCCATGTTTGCCTCGCACTGAGTTTGAGCCATCTGTGCATCGATGGCACTTGGCACTCAAGATCTTTGTACAAATGTTTCCCCTCATTCTTTCTCTTTGGGACTGTGAAACCAATCGCCCTAGGGCCTTAGGGCATCCGCTTTGCCCCTGGTCATCCGCTTTGCTTTTGGTACTCACTCTGAAATTCTTTGATGAAGATCGTGGCCGCATGCCCCAAGGACCGACAAACTTGACCCGCCTTTCCTGCTGTGGTGCCATCATCTGGCAGCTGAGCACAGTATGCGCCCGCCACAGCACCGATAGGAATCCCAAAGGAGCTAACGATTGGCAAGTTTGTCAAGCAAAGTCCACCAGCCACAGCACCAATAGCTGATGAGCCCAAAAGGATTCGCACACCTCCAGCCCGATCGATGAGATCAGCAACACTTTGGGGTCCAACTAGGAGCGCTGCAGGTGCTGGTCGTCCAAAGCAAGCCGTCAGGACAAGAAAAACCAAGGCAACCGCGCACACCTTCCGCTGGCGCCCTTTGGAACGCAACATCCTTCAGTCTAGTCTCTAGTCAGAATTGTTCTACCTTCTGTGCCGTCTATCTTCCATCTATGCTGTGAGAAAAGCCAAATGTTTGGACGGAAGACTCATGAATGGTTTGATACATGCAACTCATTCTAATGGGGCATATCAAATGCATGCTGCATATCTATCAGCTCAAGCATGGCTAATCTTCTCCAAGGATGCAAGAGGAAAACAGCACACACACAAACACAAAACCTAGAAACCAAAGGCGTCCAACTCAGTCGGGGTCACGTGGCTGTTGGAATGGTGCGCGTGTCTGCCACAGCCTTGGCAGCCTTTCGTCGGTGCATACATTGCATCAAAATCGATTAAAACCGGACAACTGTTTCAACCTTAACAAGTGAGCTCTCTGGAAATCACAAACCCCAACCCCACCTCCTGTTCGTTCTGTGGCACTAGCAGTAGGAGGTCATCTGGCACAAGACACATAAAACATATTGAAACCTTCCAAAATCCAATTGGAGGTATCCTCAACAAAGGCAGGAGGTTGCAGGGCGTTGTATTGTCAATGAGCATCTTCGATGAAACTCTGAAACAATTCTTGGCAGGAGCGGCAAAAAAGAACAAAGAAGCAGTCAAGGACTCCTTTAGTAAGGCCCGTAAAGTGGGCCTTGTTAACTGAGTCCTGGAGGCCATCGCTATTAGGTTGGAGGCCATCGCTACCAGGGTGGAGGCCATTACAAGTAGGTTGGAGGCCATCGCTATTAAATGAGTCTCTACCTTACTTTTTTTTGCATCGTTCGGTTGATCCTCGCCTATGGAGTCAAGGATCGCTTGGATGCTTCGTCGGGCCGTCCGGACTGAGGCTGTCGGCACTCGATCCTCGAACCTCTGGAGTTCAGGTTTCAAGAAAAGCCATTAGTCATTCATACTGATGTCAATTCATGCTATATGCATGTCTTGATACTTGCTACAGTTGGTTATCCTTTGTTTGCATCGGTTTTGCTTGCGAAGAACAAACCAGCTGGAACCCTGAACAAAGAATTGCAATATGACAACTTGAATGAAATCCCTAAATGACAGAAACACGATGCTATATAAGTCTATGTCGTCAGGCGTAGATCACCCTTCACATAAAGTCGTGGGTGCCTCGACATCAATAAGCACTGAGAGTCTTCCTTTCGCACAGGACATCAGCTTCACTGAGTTCTCAAGCCCCATATGTTGGGCATGCGTTTGTTGCACCTGGCTGTTTTGTGTCAACTTTTGATATCCCAAGTATCCGTCTTCCAAAAAAACAAACACCCCGTCCTCATCCAGAGCTCGTCTAACACGGTCATACTCCGTTTCAGCCAGCCCCCCAGTCGTTCGCGGTGTACTGCAAAGTCCAGCAGTTTGGTCACCCAAGTCCAAGGACAAAAACTGCATATCCGTGACATCTTGGTTTTAACTGACCAAAGGTGAAAATACCAGGAAACAAAAATGAAGAGCATATAATGTCTAATAGATCCTAATAGCATCATCAAAAACACTGATGTGATCCTTCACCCACTGCTGCGTGCGGTAGAGCTCTTTTCGGAGTCGCCGAACAGGCTCCTGCCAGTCGTTGCAAATTGCTTGCAGAGGCGTTGACATGCGTGGACTACTGTCTCATCCCAAACGTATCCAAACGAGATTTAACGAGCAACAACTGCAGCAATCCAAACACTTCTGAATACTGCTCCCAGTTCCCCCCGTTGGACGGTCATCTCGATTGATTGCACGCAGCTTGGCGTAGGTCTCTGGATTGTTGACATCGATCTGCGCAAGAAGAGCAATTCGAATCCGCCCATTCGACACAGCAAACAACGGTCATCTTTTTGTCCGCTCCTACTTACAGTAATTAAGTAAGCGGGCCAGACTAGTTCAATTCAATACTAGGCAGACTTAAGCTAATATGGACGCAGGATAGCTCATGATTCTTCAAGAAAGCGCTTGCACTAATCATTTGGCTACTAGATTTTTATGGAAACTTAACAAACACTGCAACATCCCCTGTTACATCCGAGCCTTTTCAGTGCTCAGGCACGAAACCCGTGGGAAATGCAACAGATTGCCCATTGCATTCCGCAATCTGTTGCACATCAAGCATTCCACAGGCAGTGTGCCCCAGAGGCTTTCCATCTCGTAGATGTGCTCAAATGCCTTCTCTTGATGGTACTGCTGTGTTTGCTTAAGACCATAGAAAGCCTCGTGGAATGTTCGGCGCCCTTCCCCCCTAACCCCTCATCCATACTTGGATCTCGTCACATCACCTGGGAATACAACACAAGAACTCAATTAGTCCTCACCCAACTGCAAGATTCTCATAATCTCACCAAATTGTTTTGCAAAGCAAGGACTGGATAGAACTGGCAAAACCAAGATACTTCTTGGCACGCTTGGCAGCGTTGCCAGCAGATGCAACGGGCCGCTTGGTGCCAGCTTTGGCAGCAGCCTGGCAAGGCCCAGAAATGTTTGGAGAGATTGCGATTCTAAAAATATGCTTTCGCCTGCTTTCACCCTTCCAAATCATGTGTATTTGTAGAATATACTTATTTAGCCCTCTTCTACAGTACCCCTCCTTGGCGCCCCCCTTCTTCTTGGTCGGATCAAACCTCGTGGATGCGGTCAATGGCAACAGCCCTGGTGCAAGGTGACTGAGCCACAAACTTCTCTGAATCCTTGATCTGAACCTAGCGACACACCCAGTGCAACTTGTCAAACAAACAACAAGGTAGCCTATAATATCGATGATCTAAGGACCAAATGGTAACAACCACAGCACAGTGGAAGAGCAAAGCAAGTCAGTCTGAGTGAGCCCATGTTCAGCTTCATTCGAGAGAATCACAAAGGATACAAACCCGCGCAAATACCCTGGCCTTGGCTGCCCCGAAGAACATGTCCAAAGGACGCTGCTTGGTCTTAGACCTTGACTGCAAAAGGAGAGCCATGCGCCATAAATAAATGACCGTATGTCCGTGTGCATATTGATTTGGACCGAAGGGTTGTTAGCAACAAGATGTCATCTGCACAACTATCGATGATGTGCTTGTTGTGTACCTACTCCTTTTTCCTTTGTCTCCCTTTTAGTTGTGACGAGATACTTGGAATTCTTAAGCCTCTCAATATAGCGCTCAACACGTTCCTTGCTGAAGGAACAGTCCTGCCATTCCAGTGAACCCAGCAAACCAATGATTTGGCCAAGCCTTCTCTGCCTTCAAGCATCAGGCACAACACTGTTCGCTGAAGAAACACTGATTGAACCAACAGTGGACAGGCCAGAAGATGTCCGATTCCAAGTAGCCAGCTAGGCTTGCAACCCCCGGTCCTCCACCAGGAATTTGCTAAGGCCTTCAATGTCCGGTTCCTCGAACTTGAAGTCGCACAGGGTGGTGTCCACAGCCTTCAGATTTGCGCACTGGTTCCACAGCCTAAAGATGAGAATGGCCAACAGAATTCTCTACTTCCCCCCCCAAGGACCAGCTAGCACTCTTCCCTACTCAGAAATTTGTCCGGGGTTAAGGCTCTCACTGACTGTACGATTCTGAAATACATGTTGGCAGCTGGCATCATTTGGCATCATCATACAGTACACTAGGGCAGCATGGCAAATACTATATATAGGTTTAGCCAGGGAACCGAAGTCAAGCTAGCGTACCATCGAAGAATGAGAACATCCATGAACATCCCACATAATCTATAATATGTACAGTAAGTTCTTGCAACTAATCTGCCTCGCACTCTTTGAAGAACATTCGAGCTGCCTGACAGTGCTCTGCATCTACCAACTACCGAAACATGTAATGTTCCAATCACTCGAAGCCACAGGTTGTGATGCTAACAAATTCCAATCATTTATGATTTATGATGAATGATGGGTGCAAAAAAAGCAAAGCTAGTCCCATTGCGCAAAGATGTCTACAGTATTCTACAGTATTGTAGAATATTATTGTATCAAATTAGCTGCATGATATGAGGCACACCTCATATCTGAAGTTTTCGGGCACCTTCTCAGACCTCAATGTTCGTGCGCAGCAGAACGCCGGCATCGGCTTTCTCTTTTTGGCAGTAGGGTAGGCTGTAGCCAGGTGAGAACAAAGCAGCTAGTAGTAAGGGGTAAGTCTAGCAGCTAGCCAGTAGCTGCTCGTGGAAGCTTCCCTGAAGAACCCCTCAGCATGTTACGTTCGGCTTGCTTCTTGTTACGTTCGTAGCGGCGATGGTGTTCCAACCTACTTTTGTAGCGATGCACCTGGTTACGTTCGGATTGCTTCATGTAGCTTCTCCGTTACTTAAATTGATCCTCGACTCATTGTGAACAGTTGGAACGTCACGAAATCCTCGGTGCAGCGCCCGAGTGCTTCCAAGACCTCAGCGGTGAAACAAAATAAACAAGTGCCCTTCATGGTGTTGGACTTCAGACTGCTGTGATAGACTGGTAAGATGTTTGCAAAGGATAACAAGCAGCAAAAGCGAGGCTCATAGAGTGGAGAAGGCATTATATAGCTTAATCTTTGAGTCTTCATAGCACAACTTCGAACTCTGTGCCCGAGCCGCCTTCTCCAAGGTGCCATGCTGCACCAGTAGTTTGATGGCAGTGCTCGGACCTGCAAACACGTCGAAACGTTCAATCCCGCCTACACCCTGCATGAAATTCCTAAATTCTGTTGCTGCCTACACCCTTCAGTGTGTCGCAGTAGTCACAACCACAGAGGATGCAGAAATCGATGAACTGGTCCATAGAGATATTGAGCCTTCAAGGTTTGTGAAGCAGTCTGCTGCACAGTCTTATCCTTGTTCCTTCCTTGTTCACGTCCTGATACCGAGTAAAGCACTGCTGCAAAGCGAGCTCCAAGTTAACCTTCAGGCAACTACCGATCCCCCACATCAGCAAAAACTGCTTCCACACTGCCCATATTGAATGTCTTGCCTCCAGGATGGTCTTCTTCTGCGATTCTGCAGCCATCAAATTCCTTGGCACAAACCATTCAGCTGCTCATCACGGCTAAGCAAGAACTTCTGAAGTGGGTTGAAGTTTCATTGGTTAAGCAAGGGTTCAGTATGATGGCCACAGGCTGCAAGCAAACTGGCACATTGGTGGCCAATAAGCACAAGGCCTAATGAGGATCTTGGTGCCAAAAGTGAGACAATCCGCATCCTGAATAGCCATGGCTTCTTTGTCAAGTCCACTCTGCAAACGGAGCTGTATTGGATGCTTGGTAGCTAAGTTAAAGCTGTAGAACACATGGGAGCTTGGGAAGAAGAGCGCAAGGACGAAAGAAGCTGCTTGGATTCCACAACTTCCAATCCTCTGTCGCTGCTGCAAAGACCTTTCCATCACGGCAAAGCGCTGCACAAGTCCTTGGTGTTCCCATCCACGCCCACGAGGTCGTCGAGGTCGCGATACGACACAATATGCTACATCTGGCTGAGGCCAATGCGCTTCGGCCTCGCTGGGAGCATCCACCTCGGCCAACTTCAAGTGAAGTTCGTGAAGATCTTGAAACAAGCTAAACAAATCTATACAAGTGTCATGCGAGGATGCGCAAGTGCAATCGTCAAAACAGAACCATGCACTCTGTCTACTACACTCTGCCGCCACGTATGAGCAAAGGAGCAAGCAAAGACTACATGGCTCCCGGTGCAATATTGTCGGATAAAGCCAAATCTATGGTGGGTAAAGGCCGAAGCACGGCCTTCCCTCTGTATGTTGGGCAAGGGCCACGGCCACATCATATCACTTTGAAAATACCAAGCTCGCACCGGAATGAATGGGAATGCACCCACTTTGATCAAAGTAGCATGGATGGTTTCACAGAAGGTATGAGAATGACATGACAACTAATTACATGTGGCTGGTGGTTGAGAACCGTGGTCAGTAAAGGTGGGAATGTCGAGATGGAAATATGAAATATGACATAATGTGACCATGGGAAGTATACTCTAGCATAGAAGACTGGACAAGAATTTCAATCTTCCGAGATTCCTAGCCTTGACTGCTCTTCCAGGGGCCAGCCAGCTTCGCAGAGCTGTGTTTTGAAAAGTAACAAACGATCTGTCGATCAGCAATGCCAAAGGGGCATATGGTTTGGCAAGAGGGCCTTCCCACTCGCACAGGGCCGTTAGACTGTTACTCATGAGCAAAACAAGCAAAACTGTAAGCACGATACAACTGGCACACCCATCAACCGGAGAAGCTTCTTCGTCTCCTTCAGATGCCATCTCACCACTGAAGAGAAACGCTTGTGGAGCACATGAACAACGCGCCTCGTTTTGCTCTTTGGTCACCTTCACAGTGGCCTTGTGAGGGCGTCAAGCATGCGGATGTATTATATATATTATATATATAGTCCCATGATAGATCTTGTCTCAACCCCAAACATCTTTGTACATCATCCAATGTTTTAAAGAAGAAGTGCCACAATGAGCCTTGGTACTTTTGAGAATCTGCTCGGCATCTCCAGCTTCCACAGCGGCCTCCAGTTGAAAATGTGTTTGCCCTACATTGAACAACTCCTGATGGCAAGAAGCAGCAGCAGCAGCAGCAGCAGCAGGTCGTCCAAGTCACCGTCACTCTCACGAGTCCGCTGACGGTCATTGTCATGCCCACCTGCCGATTGGCCTCTGCTTCTTTGCGTTTCTCTCGGCGCTGTTCCAGCTCCTAAAAAGACTGACAAGCCAATCAAGTCCATGTGGAGCATGCGGTATGCACGGATGGTCGAAACAGGACCCATTAACGACACAGCACGGAGCATCAGTTGTCACTCCAGCAACTTCATCTCTGGTGGTTTCCCATCAAAGACGTACACTGGCTTGATTCCGTTCCTGACACGGCATTGGTTTGAAAACCAGGAATGTGATGAAATGTCCTTCTCAGCCCTGAGTAGCGCGCTCCATCAAGCGAATGGTCCGGGTGAGCATTCCAATGATGTGGGAGGTAACCTGTTTCATGCTGGCTCAGCACATCAAATCCGAGTATATAATTACCAAACTGAAATTTGCTTCAAATGCCTGACCCTCCTCATTCGTGAGGTTGTTGTACCTGGAAATGTCTAATAATGTCTACCACAAATGTGAATGATTGCAGGGTTGCAGGCCACTCCACCTGTGGAGCACAGGATTGAGACTACTGACTGACTTCCATCAATCTATACACATCATCAATTCTGAGCAGTGGCATGTCGCACGTCCCCGATCGGTTCTCTCTGATCATTATGAGAAACTGATACAAGCACCTCAGCGGGCATGATCTTTCACAGAGCCGTCAAGCGAAGAGGTATCGTTGAGTCTATATAAACATGTCTAAACGCATGCAAAGCAGCATTATGCCTCTCACTGCTGAACATACTGAGTCCCAAAACATGCTAGCATCAATGGCAATGAGCCGCCCCGTGTAGGCTGCCTGGAACTGAAATCATTGCAGAGAGCGGCGAACAAAGCCATAGTCACAGAGCAAAGCGAGACATCGAAGGCAATGGAAGGGGAAGCATGCTCACGATGCTCACAGCAGGCAAGCAAGCCTGGCTTGGAATCTCCTTGATCGCTTTCGGGGCCGCCTCTTGCAAAAACTTTACGAGGCCTCGCTTTGCAAGTCGTGTGCGCGTCGTCTTCAAAGCCGAACATGGCAACACAAAAGAGTGTTCTGTCAAGATAACAGCCTTTGATCCCCATGGCTTCAGGTCAATGTGAAACAGTGAACTTTGTCTGAGCCAAAACGCACGGATCACATTGCAGTCAAAATTGCTCAAAGGACAATATATATAACCTCCGATCCCCTCCCCAAAAGAATAATAGCCCATTGCCGCATTGGAAACCCTCAAAACCCTCAAAGGAACACGCCATGATTCACCAGGGTGGTCTCTGGGGCGGTGTTTCCTGGACTAGATACTGCACCATGGATGAATCAAATCATCATTCAGCAAGTCTACGCATCAGTGCGGCTGATTCTTGTCGTACCTTCTTGTCGTTCAGCTGCTGCAGCTGAATCTCAAAGGAACGCTTGGCCATGAACCTCTGATGAGTTCGTGTCATGTCACTCCAGCCGCCACGCCCATCTTAGTCGACTGGTAGAGATTAGAACCCTCAGTGAATCCCTTCAGGAATCATATCCAGCTTCTGATGTGCACCTGATGATACGAGCTGGTTGGTAGTAAAAAAGTTGGCGACACCAAGCAAGAGAGACTGTGAAAGGAAGGCAGCAGCAACTGCGGCAACATCAACCATTGGGTGCTCTATGGAAGGCACGGCAGAAGTACACATACGTACATAATATGAAGGCGTGACGTGAAGCTCACTCCATGATGTTTTTTAAACCTTTACTGCAATTTGTTGTTAGCCTTTGGTGCCTGCGGTGACAATGAGGGACGAAACAAAAAGAAATCGTGCCTGAAAGGTCATGACCATGCCAAATACGACTTTGGCCAATGCTAGGACGGGTTCTTTCCCAAAGGCTTGCCCTCCAGTGACAGCTTTCTAAGGCTTCAACAACTTGGGCAAGAAGCTCTGAAGGTCTGTGTAGTTGTACTCTGCCCTCGATGCAAAAAGCTGGCAAACTCCCCTTCAAACTTCAAACAAGTGGACTTTCACGGCTTTCAGGGCTTGGCGTTTGCTTCTTGAACTTGTTGGCGCCAAAGAAGCCGCCCTGCGAAAGGTCTGCCGCACTGATCGTCGAAACGCTTCAAGGCGTTTCAGGAATTTATCATTCTGTTATGCAAAATGCAACAAGTGAGCTCTCCTCTCTGGCTTCATACTTCGCTTTCTCGCGGGAGGCTCCAACGATCAAATCTGCACCTGTGATGGTTGGGAATCGTTGAAAACCTTTGCAATCGTGGAAACTGGAGGTGGAGTCTGGTTCGATTAGCTTCACGAGAAAGCGCCATCGTGCTTGTGATGGTCAGTTATAGTGCTATTCAGCTGATACTATTTGCAAGTGCGAGTGCTGGACAGGTTCATGCAAGTGCGCTTAACTGTGATGGCTTTGAGGTGCCAACTTGATTCTGCTAGAGCTGGCCCGCTCAGCAGAGCCTTAGTGAAGCAAAGCGGGAATGCTCAGCGCGTGGCAAGTCCCCTCCCACCCAGTGCCATCTTGGAAGATCACTGCACCCAGTCCAGTCATCATCGAGGCCTCATTCGATCTGCCGTGCGGGCAGATGGAAGCCTTTTCAGCAATCGTCAATCCACTACAAAAGGAGAGAGAGAGAGAGATTGGTTATATGTTACAGGCACACATGGCACATATATATATATTATCATAGTGAAGAATAAATACTTGAGGCCGGGGTTGGTGACGAAAGCTAGCATGGGTTCTCATAAGATCTCATAAGCATCCTTCAGCAAGCTGGTGCAGAAAAGAAGGTTCTGTCCAACCAAAGTGTTGAAGAATAAGATGATGTTGCAATGAGACGTCCCAGGGGGGAGTTGAACCCGCGGGGGTGCCTACGCATGAATTATTCAGAGGGTAGGGATTCCATGCCACAGCAATAAACTTGCTAAAGCAAGAGTAACTCCAGCTAGCTGACGCTAGCTTTCGTGAATATATAGTTGCTTCGAATCCAAACCACACTTTCTGCACCACATCTCGCATGTCCCGCTGGCCTCCCGCCGCGACGGACATGGCTGTGAGCTCCTTTCGTTCGTGCGGTACATTCTGTGTTACCGCCAAATGGACACGTTTGCTTGACAACCGGCTCAACATGTACAGTGCCTTCCAGAAAAGACACCACAGCTCAACCGTGGCTCTTTGAATAATACATATGTTTGCAGCGTGCTCTTTAGCAAAAGTGCAGAGCTGAGCCAGCTACTTGCTTGGCTCTGGTGTAAAAGCCAAAGGAACAAGACCTGGTAAAGGTTCCATTTGATTGGGCGTAGGTGCATGCCCCCGACTCACAGCTTTGTCGATGCACTAGCGCACTTCAAAAACAGTCCATCTGAATCACGACTTGGCCTCTGAGCAAAGCTCCCAGCAGCAAAACCTTCAATAAATCAATTCTTACACATGAAGATCTCCAAACAAGCCCGCTACTCTTGCTTGTAAAGCTTTGAGGAGCCAGCAGTAAGTGGTGAGTGCCTCAGATTCGGAAGCCCGACCAGACGGCGATACCCGATACACGCTCCGGCCTCCTCCAGGCCATGGCCCCAGGTGGGCCTCAAGGTGCGGTGAGGGCGCCAAGTCGAGGAAGTGTCGCTTGTCTCATCTTGTCTCAACTCGTTGTCCTCTTGGCTTGGCTTCTTGCTCCTAGCTTCTCAAGAATGCTACGAACGTAGTAATGCCCTTTGTTTCTAGTAGCGATGCCTTGCTCCTAGTAGCTTCTTGTTACTATTGTATGTGCAACGTGTCCTTGAGTCAACTTGAGTCCTTGTCCTCACTACATTCCCCTATCTTCTTTCTGATACAAAGTGTTGGGCACATGGCGCCAACTTTAAGCAAGAAAATGCCTGCGCAGATTGTTCACCAATCAACAGAAAGAACAGTGAACATTCTGAACTGATAGAGAGCGAAATCCTCTACGGAAATACAGCGCATGCAATCTGACATAAACTTTACCAACACCGACTAATGTTTCAAACCGTTCAGGCAGTGTTTGGCGGAAAACCAAGATGCTGCTTGGGGCTCTGCAAAGCCACACTCTCAGATGGCAAAGGCTTTCAATGCCACTGGTCACTCGTGCCTGCAGAAGCACCTTTGGTGCAGCAATCAAGGATTTCGTGCGTTCTTCTTACATCTGTTTTCAAACAGTAAACAGTGGCCGCTCACTGACACTCAAACTGTGTATATAGGTAGCTGCCTTTTGACAACCTATTGCGACATTTTGAGATGTGCATTTCCGGTGACAGTGTTGCGGCTTGCCTATCAAGGCGACCTACAAATGCTTCAAAACATTGTCGACAAAAGTGCTCTCGGGCTTTCCATCTCCGGCAGGATCGTCCTCCGAAGCCGCAACAAAAATCTCCTTGACTTCCATATCATCTGCAATGATTGCATGCCTCTTGCAACGTGGATTACCAAGGGCTTCCATGACTCTTGAATCTGTGAGCTCCATGCCAATCTCCTTTGTGAGTTTGGAAGCACTGTCTCCATAGAAGGACAGAATTGAGCCCTCAACCTTTTGATCCTTTGCCCACGCATCCATGACGGCACTGTCATTGACGCAGTACACGATCACATCAGAGACACCCTTGGACTTCAGTTCAGCCTGCTTGGCCAGGTAGCCAGGTACCTCAGGGTCGAGCATCAAAGAATCAGAATGCCACGTCTTCTTTCTCGTTCTTTCTCCTTTATGTGTTTTTGCGAGGAGTGGGCCGTGAAAAGGCAAGATAAGCTAGGTAGTAATAAGGAAGCTACCAGTAGCCAAATCGCAGCAAAGCGAGGGATTGTTCATCGCTTCCGTTCAACCTTTAGACCTTTCTTTTGTCCTGTAACCTTTAGACCTTTGTTCCTTTTCACCGCAGTTGTGACCTGCATGGAAGATCAGGTCGGAGTGAATGCTCCAGGAAGACCCACCATCACCACCTTCTTGCCACCAATGATGTCGGAAAGTGGTACCTTCTTCGGTGGGAATCCTTTGTCCAAAACCACGTTGGGAAGTTTTGCGCCTTTCGCGATGGCAGATGCGGCGGACGCTGCCTTGGGGGGCGCTGTTGCCCATGACTGCAAAGCAAGTGGAGGGGAAACGAACCAGCCAAATGAGCTTAAAATGGCAGCGGCGCACCGTCTTCCAGCGAGGAGCCAAAGCATGCAGATGTCAAGTTATCATAAATGTATATATGTCAGCATGTGAGAACATGTGAGAATTGCTTAAGTTCTCGTGTCTTTTGCGCAAAAACATACCTGAGAGATCCTGAGAGTGAGAAGGGTTGGAGAGGTTGAGCTGGTTCTGAGGAATGGCAAACAACATGCTGCCTGTGGTGTTGCGACAAATGGAGATGGTCAGTGGAATTGGCCAACTTCTATGCTTTGGACACCAAAATGGTCACTTGGATAGAAGTTGCAATCTGTCATTTCACCGTGGTTGTCGCTCAAGCACCTAAATACATCCAACAACTGCTGCCAGTTTGTGTCGGACAAGGATGCTAGAATTTGCTGTGAGTCATTAGGTCTGCCATGAATACTGGCTCAAATGTCTATTTTGTGCCGCGGCTATGCCAGAAAAGAGACCGTTGAAGGCAAGTATGGCTGAAATGCCAAAATCTGGGATGGTAATGGTAAATGCTGTTTCTGCATCTGAAGTCGTCTTTGCAAGCAACACTCTCAGGGCGACTTGAGAGCACTCTGGCTATCTCTTGCTCTCATGGCCCCTGATCACTTGTGCCAGCAGAAGCCTCTGCATCTAACAGCAACCGGATTCCTTGGGAAGTCGTACTGATCCCATCTGTGGAAAATCTTGCCCCCTCAAACTGATACTTACAAGTGCTGCAAAATATTGTACACAAATGTCGTCTCTGGCTTCGCATCACCCGCAGGATCGTCCTCTGAAAAGGCGACAAACATCTCTTTGACCACCATGTCTTCCACGATCATGGTGTGTCTCTTGCATCGTGGGTTGCCAAGAGCCTGCATGACCCCGGCATCTTTCAGCTCCATACCAATTGCCCTCGTGAGAATCGACCCACTGTCGCCGTACATGGACACCATCGACCCATCAACGTTGAGGTCCTTTCCCCAACCATCCATGACGGCACTGTCATTGACGCAGTACACAATCACATCAGAGACTCCCTTCGCCTTCAGTTCAGCTTGCTTGGCCAGGTAGCCAGGCACTGTCTTGGAAGATCAGGTCGGAGTGAATGCTCCAGGAAGACCCACCATCACGACCTTCTTGCCACCAATGATCTCCGAGAGTGGCACCTTCTTTGGTGGGAATCCTTTGTCCAAGGTCACATCTGGAATTTTCTGGCCTTTGGATATGCTGGGTGTCTCAGCAGCGCAAACGTTGTTGCCCATGGGCACAAACGAAAGGACGGACAAGGGTCGACAAATCTGCAATATCTACTGTATACTTGCAGAATGG